TAGACATCTCATACATTTCCCTCTCACACTTGTTTCTCACTCCCACTCATACACTCTCACTGAAATTTTGTTTTTTATACCTGGAGTTTTATTTTCTGATTTCTTTTTGAATTTGTAGGTCTGATGAATTGGATCGTGATTACGATTCCAATGTAATAAATTATAACCATAGAATATTAGTGTTTAAGCCTTTTACATTATATTCTTGCGCTGTATTGTACATAGAGCTCTACCTGGATTTTATCGTTTTGAATATATATATATATATATATATATATATATATATATATTGATATATTATCAATATATATATATATATATATATATATATATATATATATATATATATTTTTAAAAACAGACCAATTTTAAGGTTCCATGTAATAAATTATTTCACCACAGCCCTTTTAAAGGACTGCGGATTATGGAACCTTAAAGTGGTCTGTTTTATTTAAATTATTTGCTCTGGATTTACATTGAGCTCTCTGGATTTTATCCTCCTTAGGTCTAACCTAGTTTTTCATTAACTATATATATATATATATATATATATATATATATATATATATATATATATTTCACTTTACATCAGCAGAACAAAGAAATGCTGGTGTCTTAGAGTCAGGTGTAAGAATGAATTTCACTGTTTTTGTGGTTGACGTCCTCATCTCTCCAAAGGATCCCATTACATTAAAGAAACTTTTTTTTAATGAGGATATCACATCTATTTAAATTATTTACTTTGTTCTGACTGTTGTTATATTCACAACGTTTTTGCTGTTTACGCTCCGGCCTTCTTCAGGTGATTGCTTTTTTTTAAACTGATCCCTTTATTTCGTCCACCAGGGTAGATTGTTCTAGTTCCACATGCCATGCCTTTTACAAATGTCACAGTTATCCCTCTTTAACTCAACACTCCAAGTTTTTGTTCACCACTGCAGTACTGAACTCACAACCCTTTGGGTCAAGTCATTGGACCCAACGAAAGTTTTTATCCACTTGTCCATGTGTCCTTGAGAACAAACTACTCCGGTGGATGAAATAAAGAGTCTAGTTCGAAATTTCAATCACCTGAAGAAGGCCGGAGAGTAAAACAGCCGAAACGTCGTGAATATGACAATAAAGATTGCTACAACTGTTCGAACAATAATTACTAATACCTCATCTCAGAAATACAGACCGCGATATCACATCTGTTTATTTTTTTTTACTATTCTAACTTTTAGTTTAAAAAAAGGTAAGCAGTCGTTGGGAAGAAAAAAAGGATCGAGAGAGTAATTGTTTTTTTTTTTATTTAGTTTCTTTTTAGTTCTGTTACTTTTTAAAAATTAGAGACTTTCACTTAATTGAATAATCTGATTATTCAATTTAAGTCTCTAATAATTACCTTTTTTAGGTAATTCAAATAAGAAGAAAGTAGATTTCTTTCTGCTTCCCACCAACTCATTTATTTCAAAGAAACAACAACAAAAAAAATATCAATTTTGAAATTTTTAGTTACTTGTTTTAATTTTATAAAATTAAAGAAATTTAATATTACTTTGTGATTTACCCACGCGATGTAAATGATAATTTAAAAAAATAGAGATGTCTTTTCTTTTGTAATTTTTTATCATTTTTTACGCCTTTAAATTTTAAAAAATTCTTTGTTGAACTTGAATCCTTTTTTTCTGTGATATTGTAACGGATCCTGTTGTTTCTTGGGGTTTATTTTTGGTTTTGTTTTTTTTACTGTTAAAAAATAAATAATCGAAATACAAATTTTATTTACGACACCAAACTTCTTCCCTTACATGCCTTTTCTTACATTTTTGACCTCACCTCATATTCTGAGTCCGTCTTTGGATTTGAAAAGTCGAGCATACGAAATAAAATGAAAAAGTATAAAAAATATTTTGTTTGTCTCGACTACCGTTTACCGGGCACGCTTAAGAAAAACAGTAGCGAGTTGCTACTTTTTACTTATAAGTAACTTTTTTTTTAAACGAAACAATTGAATTAAATTTCCTATGGAGAGATTAGCGTTAGTTTTCCTCTTTTAGTTGAGCATGATTATTGTCATTGTTGTTTTTAGGAAATTTAATTCATTGTTAATGTTACACCACTTTTCTTTAAAATGGGCGATCCTAAGCGTGCCCGGTAAACGGTAACCGCGCACTGATTTTTTTTTCCACTAGTAAAAAGTTAAATTCAGTTTTTAGTCATTTTGAGGGCAATGTAAAAAATATCTTTTGAACGGTTTTTTTGTTTGTTTTAGACTTCTTGAGCGTATTGCCCAAGTATTTATTCGTATGTAGGGAAGGGGAAATATTCTCAGAAGTCTTTTTTTTTTTTTTTTACATTGCCCTCAATCTTCCCATATTTTTTAAATTGAAATTGGTTTTCTTTGATTTTCTAGGTTTAAATTATTGTTCTTTTTCTATTCGTGTTAATGTTGTCTAATAGATTTCTGCATAATAAACACTGAATAATTAATTGAATTTGAATATGAGGCGAGACAAAAAAATTAAGATATGTAAGGGAGGTAAATCAGTTTTTGGTATTTGCAAAAAAAGTCATTTTAAATGTTAAACTTAAATTAATCTAATTAATAATATTGTTCCGTAATGAATCAATATTTAGCGTAATTTTTTCCATTTTACTAAAATAAGCTACAAGAATTTAGCAGTAAAAATACACGAGAAACACAAAAAAAGTGATGTTTGAAAAAAAAAACAAGAGAATCGAATTATTAACAAATATATTATTGCCATAAAATATGATGAAAATATTAATTATAATAAAACTAAGCTTTCAATTATTATAGCGTTAATTTATTTTCAATTTAAATTTAAAAACTTTACTTTTATCAAATTTCCATGCCATGTGCTCGACGGAGGGAACAAAAACACATTTAATTTATCATCCGGGCATTTCATCTTCTGCTCTCCGACTCACGTTATATTATTGAGGCTTATAAAAGCCACCAGCGACGTGGCAACTCGCGATAGCTCAGTTGGCAGAGCGGAGGACTGTAGTGGTATTATCCTTCCAAGGGTCAGCAATCCTTAGGTCGATGGTTCGAATCCGTCTCGCGAGAGTCCATCATTTTTTTTTTCTCTATTAAAATTTTTTTTTTTAATACTTTAGTTTACGTATTAATAAACAAATCTATCGATATTTTACTTTCCATTGATTTTACTTCATTTTTATTTGAAATTGATTACTTTCCATTACTTCAGTATTTACTTTTTTATTGTAATATGCTCACTATTTAAATTTTGGATAGTAATATAAAATATAAAAATTATTTTTTTACTTCGCTGGCGTCAAGACGATCAAATTTCAAAACTACATTGTTTGTCCATTTAAAATACTATTAGAAAATATATTCAATTTAAATACAAGAAGACTAAAAGAGTCATAAAATTACTTCAAGTATCTGAATTATAATCTTTTCCTGTTATCCAGGGGTTGTTACCAGACAAAGGGAAATTAACCCTTACGACACTGCTGTCTATTTCAGTTTCATTCAAATTGTGTACGTTTGCGTGAACACATGTATTTAATTCAATGACATACCTAGAAATATTTCTACAAAATTTTTTTAAAATCTTTAAAAAGTAATTCTATTTAGTGCATAATTTTCAAAATGTTCAATTTATTATTTAATCATATAATTAACTGACTTTTGACGGGTTTAAAAATAAACTTTTTTCCTTGTTTCCAATCTTCCGAATTTATTGCTCAGCCCAGGGTAAGGGTTGTCTAGATAGAGTGATAAAAAGGAAATGTTATCTTATTTTAATTAAAGTTAAACTCACTCAGATTGTGTGTTTATGTGTGCGTGTGTACATTAATGAACGTGAGTTATATCATCATTAATGACGCACAACACAGACTGTAGGAGGGGGGAAGCGGACGAAAAAAAAAGAAACGGTGGAAAAAAAAAATCTCAGACTCATATCCCAATAGACGATAAAATCCCAGTCTCATAAGTTTCATATATAAAAAGAAACAAATTCAACATTGAAAAGTCAAGGAATTTTTAATTCCAATTACGACAATAATAATAATAATATCAAATGTATACACCCATGTAGGAGGTGGTCCGAAAGTCTTGTTACCCCATACCGAAAAGTAATGAGAGCAATAAAACAACAAGTAATACAGTAATACAAAAGCACATGTACTGGATTCATTTTGTTCACTTTCATTGACGCTGTCACACATCGAGAAGGTCTGTATGAACATCCATCATTTTTGTGTCATCCATCTGAAATAGAAAATTATATTATGTAGGGGTGACAAGATTTTCGGACCTCCTTGTACATTGTACAATATCCAATATATACACTTCAATGTCAAACTGAGAAACACACAATATCCAACATATACTTATTTTATGCTCCATTTATATATACATATTGAACTATTGTGATTTTGTCCACTGGGTTTTTTTTCATGGATTCACACATGACATGGGACAGACAGAGACGGACATGGGACGGATGCAGACGGACACGGGACGGATGCAGACGGACATGGGACGGATGCAGACGGACACGGGACAGACATAGGACGGATAGAGACGGGCATAGGACGGATGCAGACGGACATGAGACAGAGAGAGACGGGCATAGGACGGATGCAGACGGACATGGGACAGAGAAAGACGGATATAGGATGGATGCAGACGGACATGGGACAGAGAGAGACGGGCATAGCACGGATGCAGACGGACACGGGACAGACATAGGACGGATAGAGACGGGCATAGGACGGATGCAGACGGACATAGGACAGAGAGAGACGGGCATAGGACGGATGCAGACGGACATGGGACAGAGAGAGACGGGCATAGCACGGATGCAGACGGACACGGGACAGACATAGGACGGATAGAGACGGACATAGGACGGATGCAGACGGACATAGGACCGATGCAGACGGATGCAGACGGACATGGGACGGGCAGACAGAGACGGACATGGGACAGAGAATCATTTATTCTTTTAGAAGGCCACATCACGTTGAAACACTAGTTTCCGTACGACCACCGAAGTTAAGCAACATCTAGCTTGGTCATTACGTAGATGGGTGAGAGTTTGAGAATACCAGGTGCTGTAAGCTTGGATGTGCAGATGGTGTAATATATAATAGCTCGAAATTTTTAATCGGAGATCCGAGTTCCAATTACAGTTGGGTTCGTTATATTTACTTACGCGTCAATACCATTGGAAAAGGTATAAATCCACCTTTTCTCCCTCAGCTATGGGTTAATTAGTAATATTTATATCACTAAACCATTATTATCTCCAAAAATAAAATTTCGTAGAAAATATCTAGATATCGGCATTAAATAACCCATAGAGGTGTTGATATGCCGCTAATCATAAACAACCAATTTTTTTACTATTTTCTTCTATTTTCATATTAGGTTTGGTGTTTGTTTTATCGCAGTCGTTTCGTTTTATTTCTACCACCCCTACATAAAAAGCAGGGATTGAGATGAGGCTCAGGAGGGTAATAGACAATGAAAAATTGCAATTGAATACGTTCACTTAAAAGAAAATTCGGAAAAGACAACTATTTTATTTTCAGTGAGTCATTTCATACAAATTTTACTGCAGTTTTTATTTTATTTAAGTAAAATAATTATAAAAGAAAGCAGCCAATTAAAGTAAAAATAACATAAAAAATGAAGACATTAAAATAAAATCCAAGTAGGAAATGAAATATTAAAACAGACGTCCTTAACCTTTTTTGCGTCACAACCCACTTTGGCATTAAATTATTTTCTATCGCCTACCTGTATAGTAAATGTTCAAAATCATACTGTAATGGGTAAATTATCTTTTAATGGACACTTTTCCTGCCCTGTTAAAATTCTAGATAGCCAATGTGATAAAAAAACGAAAAAACAATTTGTTGTGGCCTTGTTAGGGCCAGAAATAAAGACACAAAGATCGGGATTGAGTTAAACAAACATATTAACAGTAATATAAACATATACAAACGAGAGTGTTACAGCCAAGAATGTTCGGTCCGACTGTCACAGCTGACTGCTGGAAACTTCCCTTTCCAAAAGGCAGTACCTGCTCCTATTTATAGCCGGGAGAGTCCATGCGTGCGTGAGTAAATTACCATAACACAATTTTATATTTAATAAAAATTATCCTGAGGTCACTTCTTAATTTTACTGATGAAGTTGTTCTTGGTTTTCTCTTATCTAAAGATGTGACACTGGAATATCCGGGAGTATATCAAACAAAAAGGGAAAGAAAGAAAGAAGGAAGCGGAAAGAGTCTATTAACCCGATGATAATTGCTGAAATTTGCAGGAAGATGGATTGAAAAGTTGAGAAGAAAATTAAAAACGAAATGCGTTGAAAAATCATGCTTCAAAGTAGTAAGTGAACTTCCAAGTGGTTGCAAAGAGAATCGAACCCAAATTTAATTAAACGGAATTCAGTAAGATTGAGCAAAACCAAGATTACCTGTCCTTCCTCTATTCCCGCCGATGCGAAAAGACCATTAATGTATCCTCGAAGATGTCAAATAGAAAAAAACATTTTGTTAATAAGGAAACCCAGGTGGTCACCGAAATAATATTTAAAGATCGTTCAGGACAAAAGGTCAGGAAAAACATCTGGTTTATATCGGCCACCCAGAAGAAACGTGCCCCTATAAAGATAGAGATTAGTCTGACGGGTTCTTGCATTTTAATTTCTGTGACATTCGTCAAGAAAATTTTTTATGTCCGACATTAATTCGGATTCCTTTGAAAACAAGTTATAAAAAAAAATGAATTACTATTTTGGAGTGACCATGGGAAAAATGTTGTGTGGTCTTGTTGACCAAGGAAACAGAGGAAAGGTAACTTTTTTTTATTACTAAAGATATCGGGAATATTTTTCTTTCCTTTTCTTTCCCACCCATGACAATTCTTGAGATTGGCTGGCAAGGTTGGTGGTGGTGCGAGGGGAGGGGAGGGGGGTCATCTGGATGGGCTCCGGACAAGTCCCTGACTTTGGGAAATCACAGCGTGAGACAAGCTGATGAAGAAAGATTAATTATTAGAAACTCACTTTTTGCCTACGCATTGGGAAAGTTTGGACTCGTCACAGGATCGGTGTATCGGTCCTTGGAATTGGCTGAGGTTAGATGCTGAGAATGTGGGAGAAGGAAGAGAGAGAGAGAGAGAGAGAGAGAGAGAGAGAGAGAGATTGGCACCACCTGTATTGAGTGATTGTGCGAGATGAGATGTGAAGGGAGTTGGAGTTGGGGGACGGCTTCTTCTGATTCCTCTCAAAACACCAAATTTGGAAAATCACTCGAGTAAACATATTTTGAGAATATGGAATTTTAGAAAAAGTTTGATGCGAAGGCTGGAAGATAACCAAATCCAGACCCTGGTCAATCCAGACCCTGGTCAATCCAGACCCTGGTCAATCCAGACCCTGGTCAATCCCAACCCTGCCGGGCGCAGGATTCCATATCAGCTGGAGGTTTGGACAACTTAGAGAGTGCCTACACTATTGCTACTGGAATCCACATCGTTAGCCAAGACCTGATGACCAGGACCTTGTGCCGGCTCTGAAGACCAGAACCTAGACATTTAAATTACTACCAACACAGGCTACAAACTACCACAGGGTCATTTGATTATTTCAGAAGTGTGAAGGGTTAAAACCGCTGTATACAACAAATCATATATAAATCAAATCGTTTTTACATTTTTAACTCAAGTTAATTCGTTATTTCAAAGAATTCTTTTTTGTTTAGCTCCCAGCCGTTGACCTGTCTTCACTTCAATTTGCTTCATCAGCGATTTTCTCACCTTCTGAGATCAAAAAACACAACATGACAAAGGAGTGAATGGTCGTAAACAGACAAACGCCAGCTAAGCTGAGTGGAACCGGGCTCATCATCACGATACCAGCGACAAACCAGCAATGTGTTAACGAATGAGGAGTCAGCTCGATGGTAACACGGTGGTCAGAAGAAGCTTGAAGACCAACGCTGGAGTATGGGTTACAATTTATATCCTGAAAAAAAAAGGTATTTCGTCTGAAGAACTATTAACCCTTCTCAAAAATATAGAAAATACCAAAATATTCCTTGTTTGCGGTAATATTTATATCTTATCTAAGAATGCGACCCAGTTATTACCATTTAGCCAAATGCTTTTTTTATTTTTTATTTTTTAATACAGATTCTTTGTATAACTCGTTTTAATATTTGTTCAGTTAGCATATGTTGAATTACCTTTTTAGTAACCAAAATCCTATATTGCCCACATAAAATTTCCTGTCGCCAATCATTTTCTTTTCTGTTGCTCATCGCCCAGCCAACAGTTTAAATTGCCTACCGGTGGGCGATTTCACCCAGATTTTGGAAACCCTGTATAAAAATAAACTTTTTTTTTATTGTTATAAATAGCAAAATTAACTTTATTCTGATTCGAAATTCTTTTTTGTGATTAATTTCTCAATTATTTATGAACTGATTTACTTTATTTGTTTTTTATTCAACTGATTTTGAAATGTTTACAAACTAACAAAACAACACCATCAAAGAATGTTATAAAAATAAAATAAAATAAAAACTATGAACAAGTTAAGACTGCTAGGGTTCAAACCTCGCACGGTGTTTTACTGTTTTGTTCTTAAGTCAAACTAAACGAAGCTTAAATGAAAAAAGACAAAAACCTGTCTCGTGGCTGAGATAATCGTATATTTGTCATTAGCGACAATGTCTAGGATTTAAGTCCAGGATTAAAATAATAAATACTAATACAATCATGATATTAAGACGGACAATCAAGCAAGCTCCATGATGCAATGTAGTTTCCCTATACCTGTATTCTACCATTTGACACTATACCGAACTGAAGCAAATTTACAATTTGCTGTTTTCCTTTTCTTTTCAAAATAATCACTGTTATCTTGTCTGAAAGTAGAATATGTGGTAATATTCGAAGTTTAATAATTAAAATAATAAGGATTTCAGAGGCTCTAGGAGAAAACAACACGAGAATAAAATTTAAATTAAGATTAGAAAATTGCGGACGTAGTAAGAAACAAGATCCGAGTTCTAAAAAAGAGAATTTTCGACCAATCGCTGTTGCTTTGAGTATACACTTAAATTTATTCCAATTTGTATCCACTAAAATCTAAATACAAATTTACAAACCATCGCTTTAATCCAAACTCCATGTTCTAAACTCATGATTGTCCCACGGAACAAGGAGTTAAATCTTTGGTTTCTGACCAATCAGAATTAAATCTTTGGTTTCTGACCAATCAGAATTAAATATTTGGTTTCTGACCAATCAGAATTAAATCTTTAGTTTCTGAATTTAGGGAATTTTGCACAAGGTTGTTTACATTTCCTGATGTTCCTCTTCTCAGTTCTGACCAGATTATTTCCTGAACACTCTTTAGTCTGACACAAGGCTATATACTGTCAACATTACTTGATATTTCTCAGTGGTCAGATTTGTGAGGTGCTTTTGAGGTGACATTATAGAGGACCGTGTGGGTTTACGTATTGTTAAATTAGAAACACGTGCTGTTTATTCCTGCTAGAAGGAGGTCCAACTACAAGAACATGCCGGACTCAAGTTGAGTCCAACCGAAGATGTAAAGAAAAACAAACAAGACCGATATAGGGAGGGAGAGCGACCCCTAGTGACAATTAGGGAATTAACGAGGAGCTAACTCCGACAACGTGATGAGTGTTCATATGGATGTCATGCATGATGTGAAACTCGTTCAGAAATATCTAAACTACCAGCTGTATACAACTGCTTTCTCAGATCAATGCTTAAAAATGACCTCGAGTGACTGAAGCATGTAGGTCTTAGCGAGGACCATACTTATTCGAACTTCATGGACAAGCGCTACAGAATCACAAAGAAAGAACTGTGCCAGATAATAGAAACTACATTACTCGAAGACTTTCAACGGCAGCAAGAAATAAAATGGATAGCACCTGTAATGAAAATAAGAGAAAATAATGACACAATGAAGATGTTGACATTTCACATTACTTCAAATAAAAGGTTAGGAAGGAAACCTCCATCTGTACTGGAAAGAGCGATAACAGCTAGTGGGTTGAAAAAAAA